CACATGTTGAAATCCCAACCCCCAAAGGTGATGGCATTGGGAGGTAGGGTCTTTGGGAGGTGCTTAGGTCATGAGGGTGGAGCCCTCATGAATGGGATTAGTGCCCTTATAAAAGAGACCCCCACAGAGCTCCCTCGCCCCTTCCACCACGTGAGGACACAGCAAGGCGATAGCCATCTGCAACCCAGAAGAGGGCTTTCACCAGGCCCCGGCCACACTGGCACCCTCATCCTGGACTTCCAGCCTCCAGAAGTCTGAAACATGAGTTTCTGTTGTTTATCAGTCACCCAGTCCATGGTATTTTGTTATAGCAGCCTGAACAGACTGAGACAGAAGCACACCTTGAGCTGGTCTGCCTGGTGACCCCTGTCGTCTTACCTCAGACCCTGGCCTCCCAAGATGCCCGAGCCCCATCCTGTTTGCCTGGGTGTCTGGTGTCCTAATGTCCTGCCCAGCTCTTGCTTGCTTCCTCTTCCAGGAACTGGATCCTTTCCCTATAATCCCCTGTGGCCCCTCCAGGAAAGAACAGATCGCTAGGGACTAAGACAGTCCTTGTCCCACCCGTTCACTGAGATCCTCACAAATGTCAGCGACTGATACTTGCTGAACCAGGCTACACACTTTGCACAGCGTGCCTTGGCCAACAAGGTCCCAAAGCATCTTTGTTTCCCCAGAGACACCCCGACCCCAGCCCCAGACTTCAGCTCAGTCCCTGCACCACCAGGACTGCATCGCCTCCAGATGATAGCGTGTCTTGCACCCACAAGCCCATGACTGTTGTTATCCTGGCCACCAGGTAGACAGTTACTGTCTTTATCTATCACTAATCACACTCAAGGAATTTAACAAATTCTGTCTTTTGTCACAAATATTTGTGGCAAGAACAGACCTCAGATAGGCCTGACACCAGGGCCTGTTGAGGGACCTCCTAGGGAATGGGTCTTCCATCATCCAACTTTGCAGGAAACACTCAGGAACTCACTGGAGTTGTTTACACCAGCTGTTTGCACCTGGTGAGCAAAGCACGTGGTCACCGCCTCCTCACCCATCAGGAGATCTGGGGCAGGAAGCCAGACGGGTATTAAACCCAGTGTGAGAATGGCAAAGGAAGCCCCTAAGCTTGGCAGGACCCTCAGTCTATCAGGTGGCCTTATCCACAGCTTTATGTCCCTGTGGCGGCCTGGGGGCTCTGAAACCACACCTCTGCCTGCAGGTAGGCCTGTCACACCATTCACGAGGGAGGCAACCTCGAGAGGTCCTTTAAGGGGAGGGTCACTGAGGGTTACTGCAGCCTGAGCGAGGCACAGGGTGATGGGGGGTGACTGTGAGTTAAGTGGTCGGAGAGGATGGAAGCAGACACTGGGAAGAAGGTGGTTGAGAGCCTCTCAGATGCTAGTTTGGATCTGACTTAAGGGTGCAAGGAAGCTCTCTGTGGGGCCCGACTGGGAGGGATGCATCCCCAGTGCATCCTTTGAGAAAGGCTGATTGGGTGGGGTTTCCAAGACTGAGGGCTCCAGGAAGAGGCTGAAGACAAGGGCATAGTCAGTCATTAGGCTCTGACAACAGTCTAGATGGGCGTGATGGTCAGCAGACAGGAAGGAGGCCAACGAGGAAGGAAGCATCAATGAAACTTGGTCCAGCAAAGTTCCCTGTTCACCCAACACCACACAGATGGTGGGGGAGGGAGGAGGAGGCGGGGCTAGAACTCATGGCTCTCCCCACTGGACTCCCCAGTTCTGTGGTCCTTCCACAATACAACACACCTTCTGAGCCCTCTGGAAACATCCAGTCTGAGACAGACAAGAGCAACGACCCAAGCAATGCCCACGTGGGGTCCAGGGTAGAGACCAATACACCAGTCCAGACAGTGAGAAACGCACATCAAAACTGCACAAGACACTGGCATTTTAGGGGCAGGATCTGAGTTTGAACCTTAGTCAAATGAGGATGGAATACTTCCCTTGCTGACCACACGTAGTTTGTGAAGATGAAATGGGATATAACCAAATTCGTTTTTAAGATGAGTAAAAATGCTTCGTGAGTGAGTATCGCGACCACAAAGAACAAAGTGCACTTGTTAGAGTTTCACCTCCTTTCTGGCGCGCAGACTGTCGTGCGGACCACGGGACATCGGCTTAACCGCTTGGAGGAGTCTGAACTTTTGGGTGAGGAACGGGGAGCTGTTAGAAACAGTGGATACAGCTTCATGGTGTGGAAAGGGCTTCACGGCCAAGACAAAGAGAACCTGCCTAGCCTTGTACGTGGGAGGGACTCACTAAATACTTGTTAATGAGTTTTTGATTGTCGACACTCTATCTTGGATCTTTACCACCGTCTGGAGCTGTGCAAGATAAGTGAATAATGTAACACAGATGGACAGCAAGAAGACATTGCTGCATCATCACTGATTTCCGGTTCCTTTCTCCCTACTTCCTGCCCACACACTCAACAGTCTCCTTTACTCTAGATCCCCCGCCTCCCTCCACTCTGTGGCATCCTGCTGGAGTCATTTGGCAAACAGTTCCCACCAGCCCATCATGCTCTTCAAACCCCACAGCGTAGAGAACGCACTTGAGGGCATGGGGAGGGGGAGAGGAAGCTGGGACGAAGTGAGAGAGTGGCATGGACTTATACACACTATCAAATGTAAAACAGCTAGCTAGTGGAAAGCAGCTGCATAGCACAGGGAGATCGGCTGGGTGCTTTGTGACCACCTAGAGGGGCGGGATAGGGAGGGTGGGAGGGAGGGAGACGCAAGAGGGAGGAGATATGGGGATATATGTATATGTATACATATAGCTGATTCACTTTGCTATAAAGCAGAAACTAACACACCATTGTAAAGCAATTATACTCCAATAAAGATGTTAAGAAAACAAACAAACAAAAAAACCCACAGCGGTGTCAGGTTGGGAGCTGTTCAGGGGATGGAGGGCATTTCTTTGCACTCCTGCCTTTTCCCCCATGGAAGGGAGTGTGATTAGTTGTAACTCCCTGCTTTGTCTTCCCACCTCACTCCTTTCTCCTCTGGGTGAGAGAAGGGGAAGAGCTTAGCCCATTGGTCCTCCCGGGTGAGAGAAGGGGGAAGAGCTTAGCCCATTGGTCGGTGTGGAAGGTAACAGGGGCATCTGCTCTGTCCTTATGGGGGAAGCAAACGGCCTGCAGGAGGGGCTCTTCTGAGTCCCGTGCCCCACCCCCTCCAATGTCCTAAGAACTGCAGGACTGCCCTGCCCACTGCTGCCTGCCACCGGGAGGCCAGTCTGTCTGGATTCTGGATTAGGAAGCTTCTATGGCTCTCCTGCTAAGCTGCTTCCTCCAATGCAGCCTTTTTCAGCTTTAAAGGTGAAATCTCAGCTTTGGTCTCCATCTGCCTTTGCCTTACTTCTCAGCTGGTTCGGTAATCAGGCCAGTAAGATGGTACTTTACTGGATACCCCTTTGAACTTCAGCAAATACTTTCCCACTGTCTGTGAAAATAGGCAGAGTCCTCAGCCTGACATTCAAGGTCCTCCACCAAAATATCTGGGCTCAGCCAACTCCCCAGGCCCAGTTCCCCACCATGCTGTGCCCTGGTCATGCCAGGACCCTTGAGCACCACCGCATGGGCTCCCCGGGCATCCTGGACATGCTTCGTGTTCTCTTCCACCTGCTGAGCTCTGCTCCTTTGGCTCCCTGGATTTTAGACCCCCCAATTTTACCCATCGTACCAGCCCAGCCCACACTCCACTTCTCCCTGCGCCTTTCCTGATCCTGATGGGTCAGATCCAAGCCTTCAGTGACGGATTTCTCATTCTGGTTCCTCTGCCGGGAGCCCTCCTCCCCTCCTGCCCAGCCCCTCCTCCCCACGCACATGCCTGACATCCATGTCCATTTATTTCCAAGCTCTTCCGTTGGATGCCCTCACCCGGAGCCTCTCCTGAGCCCCCAGGGGTGTGGGATATTCGTCCTAAGTGCTTCCACGGAATCCTGTGTCCCAGCAAACACACTGAAGTGGAATTCTCTGCTCACTTTTCTTAAGAAACGTATGAAGGAACACAGATAACACTTCTATGTAAACGTGCACATGCCCAAAGACGGCGGAACGGCCAGACGGTAAGTCGCCTACATCCACAGAGAAACCAAAGTCAGTGCCCACCGTGAGTAGCAGCCACGCCAGGGAAGGCACTGAAAGAGTCACTGGCATTAGTGAAACCTTTCCTGATTCTCTGAGCCTCCAGGAAAGGCTCTCTCGAAGAGGGGTTACCCTGTCAAGTGTCCGCTTCCAACTGGTTAGTACAGTAAAGACATCCCATCATTAATTCAACTCCCCGGAGGTGAGTGAGAGGCTGGGACTGCTGGTCCCTGGATTCAGCGAGGGAAAGATGCCTCCAGGCTACCCAGGATAAAGGCAGTGAGGAAAGGGTCTCGCCCTCCACCCTGACGTCTAGCACAAGTGACAGAAAGTGGTGCTCAAGCAACAGTAGCCTGTGGCTCAAATGACATGTCTGAATATTGAGGCCACTGCATTTTTCTCGCTGGCTGGAAGCTTGGGAAGCCTGATACACCTCTCTGAAGTCTGCTCAGGGCCTGGGGAATGCGTGGATTTGTTGGGACCTCTGACAACATGGGGATAGATAAGACCCTCTTGGGCTCAAGTGTCAAGAAGCTTTCCCAACTTTATAAACACTGCTGGGAAAATGAGGAGAACTGAAACTCTGCCTTTTTTTAGCAGGAAGTGTTGAACACCTCTTGCTTCTAGGCTGAGCTAAAAAGAACTGACCCCATGATTAATCTTGGGGGATAACAAGGCCATCAACCTGGGCTACTGATCGAGAATGTTCCAGGAAGGATTCCTGCCAGGGCGGAGGCCCTACAAGGACACACCCTGCACCTCCTCATTTCTCCAAGTGCACTGGACTTCCTTTTTCTTATGTTGGGTCATTGGCACCCAAAACCCTGCACACACTGAACTGACTACCTCAAGGGGGCCCGGGGCAAACATGCAATGTGGTGACATGGTACCGATTTTGGTGAGCCACTTGGCCACGGCGCCGTAAATCTCATCCAGGATGAGGATGACGACGAGGTTGATGACGACCGCCGTGGCCGTCACAGTCACCCGGACGTTGGAGCGTGTGGCCTTGTTGAGCGACAGAGCAGCAGCAGTTGTGATGCGATAGACAATGACCCCGAAGACAATGGAGAACGTCAGGGCAATCTGTTCGGGAAAACAGGGAGAGTAGTCACACGTCAGCGAACAGCAGTTACTGCCCACCTATTACTTGAGTCTGCTACGTCGGGTGCTATTAATCTGGAGTCCACTGGTGGGCAAGGTGGCACTGCCAACCGCGGAACTCATGCAAATTCCCGGTACGGGGGCATTTTCCAGGGGAGAATGTCTTTCATGTTTATCAGATCCCAAATGGCCTATAACACACACCCACAAACTAAGGTTACCATTGGGGGTGGGGAATACAGAGGTAGGGAAAATAAAGGGTTATTATGGGATTCTATGAAATCACGTATGCTGACACATATATATGGGATTTAAGGAAAAAAATGTCATGAAGAACCTAGGGGTAAGACAGGAATAAAGACACATATCTACTAGAGAATGGACTTGAGGATATGGGGAGGGGGCAGGGTAAGCTGTGACAAAGCGAGAGAGAGGCATGGACATATATACACTACCAAACGTAAGGTAGATGGCTAGTGGGAAGCAGCCGCAGAGCACAGGGAGATCAGCTCGGTGCTTTGTGACCGCCTGGAGGGGTGGGATAGGGTGGGTGGGAGGGAGGGAGGCGCAAGAGGGAAGAGATATGGGAACATATGTATATGTATATGAACTGATTCACTTTGTTATAAAGCAGAAAGTAACACACCATTGTAAAGCAATTATACTCTAATAAAGATGTAAAAGAAAAAAAACAAAAAAACGTTGTGTGAAACTTCTGAAAATTGTAAAGCACCACAGAATTTAAAGAGTCTTTCATTGAATTACAAAAAATTGTAAAACCTGTTTAGAAATCTTATAAAAACTAGTATCTAAAAAAGTAAAAAAAAAAAAAAAAAAAAA